TAAAAAAAAAAAAAAAAAAAAAAAAAAATAATACAAAATAAGTGTTAAGACCAACAATAAAAATAACCAGTACAAGTAACAAAAGTGCTCAAGTTGGAGGGGAAGTAAACTTGCCCAGAACGAACACATAAAATCTTTAAATATAATCTTAATATATTACAAAGAACTGGTGAGAGGGAAAATGCTTTTCAAAATTCTTTTCAAGTAAATGTTTGTTTTTCCTGTTTTTTATTTTTTATGTGCTACTGGAAGGTTCAGTGACCAGACTGACCTCTTTACATCAACCAGCAGCCATTAATATCTGGATTCAACTTTCACCAAAACCATTAACTGAAATGCTTCATATCTTACAAGGGCAGAACTGTTTAAAAACCAGTTTCTTATATCAAACAGTAACAAACATTTCTATTATTCCCAGGTATCAGATTGAACAGAAAAAATATTACATAGAAGTAATTCTGTATTAGGTATAGCTTCTCTTTTCCACCATGGCTGGGGACCGGACTTGATGATCTTATAGGTCCTCTTTTCTATGATTCTATCCCCCTTCCCACACAAGACTCAAGCATATTGCTTTATTTGGTTCTCTTAAAAGCCCTAAACATCACATATAATTTATATTAACTCCTTATGCCAATAGTTTAAAGTTCTAGGTGTTAAGCACTGCATGAAATTTCAACCTTTGGCATTGAGACTAATAAAGGTTTTGGTGAAAGTTTCTAGTGTGAAATATAAATAATGCACTGAAGAAAGAGGTTGAGGTCCTAAATAATAATTGGTCTTCTATTAGCTCACTAACAAGAGACATCCAGCTTTGCTATTTAAAGTAAAGTAGCAATGATATTTTTCTCTTTCTTTAAAAGAACAGCTAACCTTAAATGTGTGGTCTCTTTTATAGTGAAAAATAGTTATTTTTCTTTTCTTCAACTTAGTGTACTGCTTTACAAGTCTATAGCTGGGGGAGAAGAGAAAGAGAGATAAATTTGTCTATAGACATCTTTATGGGTATCAATTTTACAATTAATTAGACATTCATACCAATACCATCTCCATTTCCTTGTTATGACTGTGCCAGTGCTTTCCTTGCTGGCACTGTAATAGAAGAAAATAGTGAAGAGAGATTCCAAGTTGAAAGGGCCAAAAAGATGAGCAAAAACCCATCTTTCATCAATGAGTTTTAGTCATAGAGGAATCTCTTGTCTGATCATATTCTTCAACATGGAAAACCAGTGCAATTACCTTTAAAATCCAAATTGGACTTAGTTCTTTAGACTAAAGGCCAAAAGTTAATTACTTTTGTTTTGTTAAACACTGAGTTCTGTAGAATTCTGATGTGCGGTTTAGCCAGCCTGCATCGTAGAAAAATTTTTATAGCTGGGAGGATTTTCCCTCCTCCCAAAAAAGAAAATGAAAAGCTCTCTCTAAAGATCTGTATTGCTCTTACCCATTGGCATACTTTTTAAATGAATGACATAGAACAGTAAAGTGCAGGAGAATTCTGAAAGCCTATGAGAGATTTTCCAGAACGTAACAGCAGCAGCAGCAATGGCACATATTACTAGACTTCATAGATGCCAAGTTAAAATGTTACTGAAAGGAATTACTTTGTATTGCAAGGCTTTCATATTATTAATTATGTCATAGTGCTTATGTAGTGTTAAAGATTTACCCAACCACTTTATTCTCAAGAATTAAGGGAGCCCAAGTTCAAAAGTTCCTCTCTCAGAACAAAGTATTTTATAAAGACACTGAAAGTGTATACACATATCCCAATAATTAATATTGTGTATACACATCTATAGAAGTTTCTCTCCAAGTCACTCCAGTTGAGAAGTAGCTGGAAGAACCAGAAAAAAAAAAAAAGCACAGAAAGAAAGCACATTTTTATATAAAACTTTATTACAAAAATGTCTTTGGGGGCGATTTATCCAGCAAACCAAGTAACCCCCTTTTTCTTTCTTTATACTTAAAAAAAAAAAAAAAAAAGGATTATCTTGCTATTCTATTTTATGAATAAGTGAAATCAACTTTCATTCTTTACTTTCCTACCCTCCCATTAACCCCCATTTTTCTCTCATAGGCCATGGCCTTTTTCCCACAAAAATATCTATTCTTGTTCAAATGTAAATGACAGTAGAATAATTTTAAGGTTTTTTTGTTTTGTTTTTTTTTTTAAATATATCAACCTCTTTGTCCAGTGCATTAGGCTATGCAGCTACATGGAACCAGCCATACAACTTCAATGATGCATAGCTCCCTGTTACTGTTAAAGGTACAGTGCAAAAAAAAATTTGGTAGCAAGTGAAAGACATGTACATTTTTGTGCCCTTTGATCTTGCAGGCTGTTATTTTTTCTTCTTCCCTAAAGATAAAAGGTTGCAGAATAAGGAATGTATTTTGATTATAATTACAGTACCATTCCTTAATGTTCTTGCAAGTTATTTGCACTAATTATAACAACATATCAATGTATTCCTAACAAAATTTAAGATCTTACACATTCAGTCAGTGCAACTGAAAGATTTCTAAGTGGGCACTGTACCTATAATCAGTTTCCTTACAAAACGTACACAGGTTTTTGTACTCCCAAATTTTAAAAAGAAATTAATGAAACTACAATACTGCATCCCCTTCACTTCCAAAAGATGTCAGAAGTTGCTACATATAAAAAGACACCCCCATCCTATACATTCTTTAGGACTGCTCATACAGATCTTCCATAGGATTGGAGTGTAGGTGTTTAGGCAAGAAGCATGCACAGCAGAAGGTAGCATTAAAGGCGTAGGTAAAAGATAGATACCAACCAGTAAAATCCATCTGCAATTAACTAATGGTTTCTCTATTCAGAGAGTTTAGAAAAAGGTCATCCAAAATGTTCCAAAACAACTGCTCACACAAGAGTACATATACAAAAAGAGGGAACTTACACAAGGAGAAAAAGGCAAACATGGCCTGAAAGAGCCACAAACTACACTACTCATTTGTGAGGTTTCAAAGTTCAGCGATATTTTCAGAGCCACCTCAGCCAGAATCCTCCTTTACTTTGCTTTAGTCTTTATAAAGCATGTTCCACAGAATATTGTCCAGAGTGTGTGAGAGGCGTGGGAAATCACTCCCAACCATTGTCTTTGATCATGTGGGCAAGTTCAATTATAAATTTTCCTTCTTTGTACTTCTGACTGCTTTCAAAAGCATGTTCCTAGATAAAAAGAAATATATACATATATTAAAAAAAAAAAAAAAATACTGAGCTAAAGCTCTAACAAGGTTGTTCATCAAATGACATGCATTTAAAAAAATGTAATACCTATTAAAGCATTACACTAGTTTTTGATTATGCATGTGTTCCCTTTCTTGTTGGGGGCAGGAAATGCATGAATAGCAGAAAAATAGGGCTGGATAGGACCTAAAGACAACACAGAGTCCAAACGCCCTTGTTCAAGAAAGCATCATTCCTATCTACCTCTCCCAACCAAGAGTCCATCTTAAAAACTACACTTAAAAACTTGCAATAATGGAGATTCCACCACCCCTCGATAATCTGTGAATCCAATATGCAACCTAACCATGCAATTTAAGATGTGTTCTTTGGGGTACAGGACAAGATGAAGCTAAAAGGAGATGATAAACTCTTTTCTAACAGCCCTTTTTGTACTTTTAAACTTATCAGATCCTCCATCTCAAACTAAAAAATTTAGTTCTTCAAACCATGTCATGCATCATCAAGAGACATCATAACCCTACAACAGGTGCAGGCAAAATACAGCCCGTGGGTTGGATCCAGCACCCAGCCCCCAACCAATGAGTTGTACCCTGCCCAGCCCCTTCCACCTATGAAGATGGGAGTGAGGTGCCCAGGTACATCCCTGTCCCCGCCCCCCTCAACATACCCTATTGTGCCTCACTCCCACCATCATGGTGGAAGGGCCCGGCCAACACGCAGCTTCTGGGCAGAGCTGCTGCTGCTCCAGCCACCTGGGACCTGCTTGACTTCCCTACCTCCTGCCTGATGCCAGCGGGAGGCCAGTGAAGCAGCAAGAGCAGGGCAGAGGCAGAGCTGCAGCTGGGTGGGAGCACAGGCCTGGCATGCAGCCCCAGCAGGAAGCAGCAGCAGTAGGTGGGGGTGCTCAGGGCACTTGTTCTCAGCAGGACCAACACTGCACATTGCAGCAAGAAGAACAGCCCCCCCCCCAGGCTGCATCTATTGCTGGCAGGCTCCCACGTTCATGCAGCACAGAGGAAAGCCCCATGAGCTAGAGCCAGCTGGGGCGGTGGGAAGGAGGATTTGATAGCAACTTTTAACTACCTGAAGGGTGGTTCCAAAGAAGATGGAGCTGGGCTGTTCTCAGTTGTGATAAATGACACAATGAGGAGTGATGGTCAAGATGCAGCAAGGGAAGTTTATGGGGTCGACTTGTATACCACGTCACCTTGTACGTAGTAAAATATGGTAGCTGGGGATGGTCCTGCTTGGAGCAGGGGGCTGGACTAAATGATCTCCTGAGGTCCTTTCCAACCCTAATTTTCTATGATTCTATGACTGTGGGGGGAGTGGTAATACACAAGACTAAGGACAAAGTTCCTATTTCCACAGCTAATAGTGGAAAGAAAGAAAATGAAGTGGTAGAAGCTACAGTATATTAACTCTCTCACCCCTGAATGTTTATTGCCATAAGAGGGAACATGTGGCCCCAACTGCTTTCCAGAAGATTCTGAAACATCACTGAACCAGAAAGTATGCTACAAGTGGAAGTGGAAAGAGGTCCACTGAAAAAGTCCAATTTTTCTTCAAAGTGCCAGATCTATTGCACATTAGTAGCATGGATAACTTGTCAGCCACAAAGTTTAGTTTGGAAATATCCTGATCCTGCCACAACATTCAAGCAGCAGTTTTACTTCTGTTAAAAATTATTATACATGCACCTAGTGACAGATGCAGAAGATTTGTTCGGATGGATGTGAATGTAATAAATTAAGAGTCGTTCAATCTAATAATATAAAATAACTGCTTGAAAATCTTAAAGATAACTCCAAATTGATTAATTTTTATTACCTTCCTTAAAATATAAAAGGTTGCTGAATAAGGAATGCATTTTTAATATTATATAGTATTCTAAACAATCATTCTGTAATATCCTTGCAGATTATTTGTATTAATAATACCACTAATATAATTTGTTAAATATGTTTGATAAAAATTAATAAACACATACTAAATACTTACATATTTCCATCCAAGAGTAGTCTTACAGTTTTCACAATAGATATCTGCTACAGCATGTAAACCTGTCAGAAGTACTCTCTCCTCTGCTGGACCACAGCCCACATTCACTCTGCAACAAAGAACATAGATAATGGCACTTCATCGTTAACATAGGTGAATGCTGACGGAACAACAAAAAAGTTCTATTTTCCTGGAGATTAACCCTGAGTTTTCCTTAAATTATTTAAAGTCTCCAGGATATGCTACTTCTAGTCAAATACTGCTCAGCTAATTTCTAATATCACACTAAGTTGAAGAGACAGGAAGGGGATAACTGAATCTTGTTTTTTATTTCATAGGTGAAACACACTGGCATTTGTAGCATGGAACAAGCTCTCACCTATGCCCTGAAACAACAATGCAAGGTAAATAAAAAGTTATTTAACTATACAAATTAAATGTCAGGCATCTTCTGATTTAAAGCCTTCTCTATATTGAGAATTGTTTCCATTAGCACAAATTGCTACCTTTTTCTTCTACCCAAGTATTCTGGACCAGAGCACCAATGCCAACAGCTGAAGAGAAAACTAATTCCCAATGTAGAAAAGATCTTAGAAAATTTTAGGTCATTTAACTTGGATCATCAATAGGTTAAAAATCAGGTTATTTACCAAGATGACTTTATCACTATCACCTTATTTATCAGTACATTTGAGTCCTGGCAGAAGTCCTGGTAATTTGTCTAGGAGAAATTTGGCCAATTAAAGCATAATTTACCATTTCCAGTGGGCGTGCACACACACACACAGTAAATTTCTATATATAAAAATTTGCTACTACTAATTCATCCCTGTAAAAAAAAAAGCTACAGCAAAACCCAAATCATTAGTATGGGGGGGAAAGGCAGGTGTCCACAGTGTCCTTAATTCACAGCAAATTACTGAATTAAGGATTAACCATTCAACTGCAGCTTTTACTTCAGAGTGCTACTTTTCCACTCAGATTGAGCACATGAGCAAAAAGGCTCCTCAAAAAGTTGCACCTCAGTGATTCAGCATAGCTATTTGCTGAATTTTCTTTGTCTTCATGGGGACAGGGAGTAAGAATTCATAGACTTTTCAGGGCTGGGTTTCTAGTGTACTGTACAGCATTTTCTAAATGCATAGCAGACTCTTATGCAGGCCACAGTCATGTGGTAGGCACTTGGCAGACTATCCAAGTTCAATGCTCCAAGTTAGCAGCAGAAACAAATAGAAAAAACCTGTAGGACGCTGCACCTTAAGCATTTAGCTGTATTATTGCAATGTATGGTAGTATTTCTTCTTTAAAAATATCAAGAATCATTCTTTTTGTGTCTTAACATAACATGCACAAAATAGTAAGACAGTGTTATTTATCCATGAATGACATGGACTTGCCTATAAACTTGCCAAGGCGCACCAGCAGGCAATGGGAGAGTCCCTGTTGCCCGGAGCACTACCGGAAGTAACAAGGAACAATGATCATAAATTGACTGAGAGTAGATTCAGGCTAGACATCAGGAGGTGCTACTTCACAGTCAGGGCGGCTAAGAGCTGGAACCAAGTTCCAAGGGAAGTGGTGCTCACTTGGGGGGGCCTTCAAAAGGAGGCTAGACAAATCACCTAGCTGGGGTTGTTTGACCCCAGCATCCTTTCCTGTCCACAGCAGGGGGTTGGACTTGATGATCTGCTTAGGTCCCTTCTGTCATAGTTGGTAGGGTCAATCTCCTAAGTTAAAAATATGGCTAACTATTGAATATGGATAATTAGCCAACATTACCAATTACTTTGGACTGACAAAAACAACCATATGTTACTATGCTCACACACAGTGAGTATTAAAAACTTGGACTATTTAGCATATATTAACCTAGTGATTCCTCAACTAGGGTGCCATGAAGTAGTATTAAGGATGCCACACAATGCACATGCTTCACAAGATCAACCCAGAGATTTCAAATTGGATCGATGGTGCTAAAAAAGTTTCTAATCTGTTATAGATTGAGTTCTTTGCAAGAGAAGAACTGCTCTAGTATTTTTCCAGTCAAGAAAGTAGTCAAAGCTAAGAACTTCCATTTTCCTTTAGTCTAAGGGGAAGTAGCTTGGGTCCAATTGAGGTTAAAAACCATTGCACTAAACCACTATGTTCCAGAACAAGGTTTAGACTGGACAAAAATTTATATAATAAGCCTAGGAAAACTTGCCAACACAATTTAATTGATATGGTTACACAAGAACAGAGTCTTGCCATTTTTGCTTTGTTCAGCTACCTAAAGCTGTAGTACTTTTACTACAAAACGAGCACTGATTCTTCATATAACAATAACTACATGTAAACAGAATTTTAGAAAACAACAGTTGGATCCTTTAATCTCATTTTAATTATGCTAGCCTATAATTATACTTGCCTATAGTATGACTTCTTGTAGTTTGTTCATGGGCATTAAAACTTCCTACTTACTAAAAATTAACCTGAGAAAATATGAACGCAATGGTCATGCTAAAGATTCTTCCTCTGGAATAGTGTTGTTGTTAACAGTGTAATTTACTTTCCTTTCCAGTTTCACAACATTTCCTGGAATAACCCAGTGTAGCTTCATTTGCCTAAACTGAGTTGGAATTAGATGCGTACAATTAGAAGTCTAAAATACAAGCATCAGTCAGAAAACAATGACTCCAATTTTTTTTTTTTTAAATCTCCTAAGCAAGCCACAGACATAGAAGCCTGTTCTTCTCGACTGCTTGCCTAAAGTGGCAAGAAGAGTAAAATTCAGAGGTCTAACGTCCAAACACTGAAGAAAATGAAAAGCTGAATACTTAAGTACTGCTTCTGCACGACAATGCTTGGCTCACACACCATCCTATGCACAACAGACAACCTCAGCATTTGGACGGACTGCGATGCCTTATCCTCTATACAGTCCAGAGGATGAAGGATTGACTGAAGGCCACATTTTTAGGATTATGGCAGCAAGGCTATGGGACAGTGGCTGTGCAACAAATGCAAGGACTTTTCAGTGTCAAGATACATGCCGTTGTTCACCAGTGGAAAAAGGCCATTGGCAGAGAAAGAGACAGTCAAAATAGCTGTGTGTTTAGCAATGATGTATACATTTTCTGTGCAAGTTTAATATTTTTCAGTAATACTTAGCTGGGGGGGTGGAAAAATAGGAGTCATTACTCCAACTGACCCTTGTAAAACCAAAAATCTTTCAACAAATGACAGGATTACCTATATTAAATCTCAAGGCAGCCTTAGGGGACAAGCCTGTCCTGACCTACAAGCAACATCCCCTGCCCCACCTCACTGTTTCTTCAGCAACAGACTACCTAGCTCCTATTTTCATCAAGGCACCAGGTCTTGCAACAAGCCCAGATATCAGTTATGCCTCCTCATCAACACAAAACACATCATCACTGGGCCAAACAACACTGCTTCTAACATCTAGGGTTCATTTACCACTACCAACATCACATCAGCAATCACCTGTTTACTATACCCCCTACTGTTTATAATGGACAGATGGGGTGGGTGATCCCTACACGAAAGAACGAATAGACACCATTCTGAAATCAAGTCCAGAAATGCACAAAAGCATGCGGCAGAGCACTAACATCATTGGCTATTCCGTCACTACCCTAGGAGTAACCACTGTTAAACAAAAAAGAAAAAAAAACTTTAAAAAATCTTGAATGAGAAGCTGCAGAATAAGAAAACATCCACAGACTGGACTGTGTTAAGTATGGTCTAAACAGAGACTATGATTTTTTATCCCATTACCTAGATTAGCTTTTTATAATTTGTATGTTCCTATGGGTTTACACGTTCTTGGGTTCTTTTCCCCCCTCTCTCTCCAACCCACCTTTCCCCCCTTCAGCATTGTTCCTTCTCCTTTCCCTTATCTTTTGTACTTAAATCACTGCATTACAATGCCTGCTGTCTGCAGTTTCTTTCATGGCATCTGCTGTGAAGTAAGCTGCTGTTTACGAACGTTTATGCATATCTGAATTAGTCTGTTTAAGATGCGCCTCTGCCCTGCCTTCTGCTTAAATTTTTATAAAAGAAATTTAGTCTACCTCAAGCTATGCAGTCATAATATTCCCTTATAAGAGCCATAGTTATCCCAAAACCACTTATATTCACCAACAGAACCTATTAATAAGACAAAAGCCAAAAGCCTGGAGTAAGTTGCATCAGCTACGATTGTGGAGTACCTTGCCCATTTGCAGCACATACCAAAGACAGAGATAATTCACAGAAGTTGCATGTATGATTATAGCTATACTTACACAGAATTGAAGAGGTAGGCTCGTCCCTGGCTTCCCTGAAAAGACTGCATAGAAGAAAAGAAAAAGAAAAGCAATTTTAGGAGACATAGCATATACAAGTATGACAGTGTCAAGAAAGGAATACTAGAAATGCAAGTTTATACAAAAGTCACTTTTCAATAAGGTCCCATCTTCACAAACTTTTAGCCACATCTGTAAATCAACTGGTAACAGGGTTGCCTCTTAGTTGGATTTGTGCTCAAAACACCACGTGGCTGCATTTCCTCAAGTGGTACAGCATGCTTTTTTGTATCATACACAGGGAACAGTCTCATCCATGTTCCTCACAGCTTACTTTGCGATTGCCCAAGATGCATTGCTCTGGTCTTGCATACTTCTGGAGCTACTCTGTAGACGTGTCTTCAGTGATGCAGTATCAGATAGCAGTCCATTTTCTTGTGATATGGAGACAGAAACATATGACAGCATGGTGGGTGTGAATGTATAAGGCCAGTTGAGACACGACTGCAAATCAGATAGACTGCAATGTAGAAACAACTCCAGGTGTTTTTGCTCTGTGTTGAGTATGTAATGCTGTGATTTCGTTACAAAACAGAAATATTCCTGTAATATAGGCAAGTTAAATGAATAAGGTTGCCAAAAAAGTTGAAATTAGAAAAAAAAATTAATGAATGGAAGATGACCACTGCATTTGGTATACTTCTGTCCAACTGAAAATAAAATGCTTCTCTTTGAGCTGTAGGAGTCTCTTTCAGATCCTACTCCACTATTTTCCATTGTTTGAAACTGGCTGAAGGAAAACAGGTCAGGATGGAAGAAACTTGTGAAGAATGCTACTGCAAAAAGTTAGTGTTTTTTTAGACTACTTCCATTTGCTGTTGACAGGGAGAAGGGAAAAAAAATCTTGAAGTAATTGGGTCTTAAAAAAGTGTAAGACTATTACTTTTTGTAAAATTGGTTTTCTGAAATTCTGGTTGAGTTTGTAATACAGCTGTTTTATAAAATGCCTCAGTATGTGTGGAATCAGCCACACGTGGTCAGTCCTATATCACCTGTTTTCACTCATTTCCTAGATCAAGCAAGGACAACAGAAGTTTGTTGCATCTTGCTGGTGTCCATTCAAATGGAAGCACTCTGGCAAAGTGGGGTAGCCCCAGACTACATTAAATCTGTTCTCTCCCACTTCTCCCCCAAGACTGTAGTTCAAAGATTGGGGGAAAAAAAAAATCACCCAAGAGGACACAGATATTAGGTCTGGGTCTTAAAAAGAAACAAACCACAAAACTCATAACCTGAAAGACTGGGGGAGGGGGAAGTGAGGAGAGAGAGGCTGAAATGTACGAACTTGGGTAGGGGAAAATTTGGCAGAAGCAGAGCCAAAATGTTCCATGTGTTTGAAGAAACAAGAGAAAAACCACGTATTTAAGTGTTCAGAAGCACCAAGAAGAGAGTGCTGCAGTTACTCAAACCAAAAGAAAGCTAAAGGACCCAAGTCACAGCAACTGGATAAAGTTCTATGAAGGCTGTGCAAAAAATTTATACCATTACAAAAACTTTTCTTACATCGGACAATAAAAGATGCATTATAAAGTTAATATTCTGAAAACATAATTCAGTTTCTTGCTATTTTCCTCTCTACCCCTTCCCCCACTTGCCAATATTAAAAGTAATGCATAAGCTGCCAGTTAGTCAAGCTATCTACCTGTTCTATGAAGAGAACCAAATCACAATTTTAGTTAGGATCCCAAAGCTGGGCTAAATTAGGGCCACGCACAACACTGGATTCAAAATGAAATGCCGCACTGATACCAATGGTAAATTAAAAAAAAAAAGCCGAAGCATGTTAGAGAAACCTCTAGACCCATTTGCCTCCCCAGCCATTCCTAGATAGAGGCCGTCAGAGCTGACACAGGAACCATATACACAAACAAACAACCCAAAAAAACCCAACCCACAACCTTCTGCCACTTGGGCTTTGTCTGCACTAGTGAAATTTGTCAGACTACTCACCAAGCTGTTCCCCTTAACATACTCATCTTACAGGACATTTTTTTTAAATTACTTTATGAAATTATGGTTACAGAAGGCTGGAACTTATGGTTGCAAAAATAACGCTTAAACCTTTGGTATATTAGCTATATATAGCATTTCTACAGATTGTCACAACTTTTCAGTTTTATTTTAGAGCCTTTTCAATTTTTTTTTTTTTTTTTAAATAAAGTGCATCTTATAGCTAAGTCTTCATTACCTCCCTTTGATGTATGCAGTAGTAGACTACATGCGCATTTGAGTGAAAAAGAGGTGCTATACTGTATTACTAACTAGTGAATAAGCATGAGATCCTAAATAAACTCTGGATGCAATAAAAGCAATGCAACTTAACAGCTTTTTTAAAATGCATCATTAGGTAGGACTTCCATTTTTTATTTTTTTAAATAAATATTTCACAGCAACCCAACACAAGGCACCTGTCTCAGTACAATGCAAGTAATCCTAAAAAGTGGTTACTAAATGAATGACATCAGACACCTTCCATATTTCTCAAAAGTGTCCCAAAACCAAGAGCATATATTGTAAAGAATTTCTCAAATAACCTCTTTACAAAAGTTTAAGGATATTTTAACATTAATTGATCAATTTTCCCTACATAATTCCCTTTAAGGAAAGGAAAGGAAAAGACCTATGTGGAAAAGCAACACATTTTTTTCTTCATATCAACAAGGAGTTTAAAAGTTATCACATTGATTTAAATTCTGCTCTTATTGAAATTAGAGGCAAAAGGCCCAGTGAGGAGCCAATTGCTTCTGAGAGAACACTTTGGTCAACATGGAGTGCTTCCAGAAATATGGCACCATATTATTATATATAGATACACATATAGGCATATTTCTAGAAGCACTCCATGTTGATACACACATGCATACACACACATTATACACAACACACACTTATTTTTAAAAGGCCTACATTTGAGAATGTTATGCATAAAAATACATTAAGGACCTCCTGGGCATACTGCATCTTTTCCACAAGAGCGTGTTATGTGAATTTTCCTTAAATTTTATAATCTGAATTTTTTTATGCCAGTGACAATGATTCCTGACATTTTTATATCTTCCAAATATAAAATGAGGCATCAGTCATAAAAGTCCTCCAAAATTGCATGCGATTACTATAAATGAGGCATTTTTCCATAGCTCTGTTGCAACCAACTACAACAATCACCTCTGCATACTTCAAGAAAGGAGATGAAACTGATGACAGTACTGCATATTCTTATACCAAGCCTAAAAGCAACCAAGCATTTCTGCCAGTATCAGCCATGAATAAAAATTTTCTCCATACACTCAATTAGAAAGCAACTGGTAAATCAGAATGCCAGTCAAAGAGAAACATGAAGGTGAGTTGCTCTTTTTTTTTTTTTTGGTGCAAAAAGTCTCCACAAATAAAATACCAAAGCCAAAGTCTACTTCCACCAACCACCACCACAAGCAACTAAGAAAAATGCACAACATGATATTTTAACAGTGTGGTGTTGGACTATTACGAGGTACAGAACTATTTTCTCTATTTTTATGTAGCTGCCCTTATACTTTGAAATGCACAAATACCACATGCACAGAGGACTGAAAGGCATCTTCTGCCTCATTAAGTCCAGGCTGCGTGCAATTGCAGGCAACTATGCCATATTATTCCTGCCACAAACTGACCCCAAGCCTTCATTGAGGTCAGGGTAAAAAAGAAACTTATTACGGGGGAGGAGGGATGTCTTTGTTTCTTAATTCCTAAGAACTAGTTAAATCAGAAGATTATGCTGATATTTCCCTCTTTAGCAAATAAAAAACCCTTCTAATTTGCAGTCCAAAATTTACCTGAAGTCTATAACCGTTTGTTCCTATGCCAACATTGTCCATTAGCTTTAATAGCTCTTCTCCCCCCCCAGTGTTCACCCCCGATATATTTGGAGAAAGGAATCATATCAACACTCAGGCTTGGTTTAAACTGACTAAACATGCACAGCTCCAAGCATCTTCTTTGGCTCTCCATTCCCCTGATCATCTTAGTAGCCCATCTCTGTACCTGTTCCACTCATATTCCAGATTAGCTCTCATCAAAGCTTGTGGGGGAGCAGATACTAGGGATGCAGAGATACAGATTTCTCTGAGCAATACCAATGACTGATTATTAACAAGCCATATTGGCCAATACTGAGTGGACTGCTGATATGAAACCTGGCACCTTGGACAGCAGCATCCAGCTGGTAAGTTGGGGGGGTTGATTGAGGACCCCATGGTGAGGTAAGGAGTGGGGCTGGGGCAGGTGCTGCCCAGCCAAGGCAGGGC